CGGAGTGCCTAGAAGCTTACAACAGAATTTGTCAAGAGGTGTTGCCAAAGATTCACGAAGATAAACATTACCCTTGTACTTTGGTGGGGACTTGGAACACGTGGTATGGCGAGCAGGATCAAGCTGTCCATCTCTGGAGATACGAAGGCGGCTACCCAGCCCTCACAGAGGTGATGAATAAATTCAGAGAAAATCAGGAATTTGTGGCATTCCGGAAGGCGCGAAGTGACATGCTCCTGTCCAGGAAGAATCAGCTGCTGCTGGAGTTCAGCTTCTGGAACGAGCCTGTGCCCCGATCAGGACCCAACATATACGAGCTCTCAGGTCTTACCAACTCCGACCCGGAACCATGATCGAGTGGGGCAATTACTGGGCCCGAGCCATTCGCTTCCGGCAGGACAGCAACAAAGCCGTGGACGGGTTCTTCTCTCAGATCGGCCAGCTGTATGTGGTGCACCATCTCTGGGCTTACAAGGATCTTCAGTCCCGGGAAGATATACGAAATGCAGCGTGGCATAAACATGGCTGGGAAGAATTAGTATATTATACAGTCCCACTTATTCAGGAAATGGAATCCAGAATCATGATTCCTCTGCAGACCTCGCCCCTCCAGTAGAGCTGTCACGTTGACGCTGCTGTGCCTACATGAATGTCAGTGACAAGTGTCCGTCCCCCGTTCATCTCTTGGTATACCCGGTATATCATGTGACAGCGAAACACCATGTGCGTGTCAGCCACTGTACATAGCTTAAGAGAGGCCCCTTAGCTTTAGAATCTACGTGCTCGGAGAGAGGAAGCCGTTGCAGTGTGCCCAGTGGTGGCAGGGCTCTGTCGTCTGCTTTGAAATGCCCCTTCGTTTCTGGAACATTCTTTGTAATACCGAGCCACCTCCACTTCCAGCCTCCAGGAAAAGAGGTTAAAAAAAAAAAAAAAAAAAAAATTACGTTCAAATAGGACTCTTACCAAGAAAAGAAAAAAATATATTTAATATATATTCCTTTCTTTATAAAAAGCTAATCTGTTTTATATTTACAGATTTTAGACACATTTTTTGGCATCAGGAAGTACACTCCCCTCTCCCCCACTACCCTCTGTTTATGTAAGGATTTTTCTCACTCACTATGAAAAGTAGTCCCACTAACCAGCCCAAATGTGGTTTAATTTGGACTCATTCACCCGTAATCAGTTGGCACATAGACAGCCAGGAGCAGGAAGTAGTGACCAGCGAGGCCCCCCCCCATCGCAGCAGCTCAGTTCTCACCGAGTGTCCGGGGACTTCTCCCCACGAGGCAGTGAGCGGACAGCACTCGGGCCACCTCTGTGATGTTTTTGCAACGAAGACATTGATAGTGCTAATTTTTATTTGTGATATTTTTCTATCATGAAACCAATAGGTAAAGAGGTTTTATTTTGTAAGCAATCATGTGTGACCACAGAGGACCTCCAATGGCTATTTTAGCGACCTTATAGCAGGTACTTCCAAGATCACGTACAAGTGCATGTTGGGATTTAAGCTGGCAACTAGCCACATACCCGTCAAGTAGCTGTTTGATTGTGTTGTTGGGGTTTTGTTCCTTTTCTTAAAAACAATAAGGTGTGCCAATGTTGTGTCTGTAATCATGTGAAAGTCCTGTTGAAATGAAAACTGCCCCACTCCCCCAATAAAGAATTTATGTGTAAAACAGTGTGAATAAATCTTATATCAAATGTCCAACTTTTACATGTGAATGGTTTTCTGCAAGATATATAAAAGTCAATAAAATCCTCTAAATTTTCACATAAAAAAACTGATAGAAGGGAGCTCTGATGGCCTAGTGGCAAGAAGCTGCGCTCAGTTTGAATCCACCAGATGCTCCACTGGAGATGGAGAGGGAATCTCCTGTACCAGTCAGATCTGATTCAATGGTACACATACAAAAAAATAATAATAAAATTAAAAAATCATTAAAAGATTTTTTAAACATGTCTGAAAGAGACATGGTTAAGATAAGTTATAAGTTATAAGTATTATTGAAGGTGATACTATGATTTACAAAACAGGGAAATATCATCTTATGACTAAGTGGGAGTTTGTTAGGACTAATACTACTTTGGTGGTTTAGTCTGTAGTAAGTTGTTCGACCAACTCAAAGTTGGCAACTGTATGGACGATGGAATCCAAGATGGGCAATCTTCTCCCACATGGTTTGAAAGTTCATTGAAAATCCATTGGAGAGTCAGCTGTGAGTTGATTGCAACTTGACAGTAATAAGTTGAGTTTTTTAAAAAGGACCTTATTCCACAAATGCAAATTTGGTTTGTAGTAGGGTCCATTGCAGGTAGCAAAAGAACTACCCTATAGCATTTCCTTGGCTATTATCTTCCAGCAGCAAATCTAGGACCTTTGTTATGGAGTAAATAGGAAGGTTCCAACCTCCAAACTTTCTCTTAACTGTTATAGCACCAGAGCTTCTTCTAAAGTTGGCTCACTAGGTTGGTGTTTTTTTAAAAAAAATCCATTTTTAAGAAATCAAAACAATTACCACAGTACCAAATAAAAAGAATAGAACAGGCAAATGCACAGACTCAAACCTGTATTTGTGGTTAGCAGAGATGGACTCAAGAGTGTCAGAGATGATGAGGATGGAATAGAATAGGACAGGGTTCAAATATGTTGTTTGTATGGTCGCTATGAGGTTTACTCCACTGCACCTAACAACAATATCAGATTAGGGTGTTATCACTTTTAAGAGGTATTGAGTTTCTGTTTGGGGTGCTGAAACCTTTTGGAAAACGTGCTAATGATAGCATAACTTGTTGCTGTTAGGTGCCAAAGGACTCTGAATCATAGCAACTCTATGCACAACAGATCAAAACGGATCCTTCATCATCCTCATCCTCTCTACTCCACTTAAAAGTCACCATGTCAGTCAATCTCCCTTGAAGGCTTTCCACTCCTTTGCTGGCCCTTCTACTATCCTAGAGCTCTAGTGGCCTAGTGGTAGGGAACTGTAAAGACACATGGTTCATATCCACCAGTTGCTCTACTGAAGAAAGATGGGTAATCTCCTCCAATGCACTTGTTACATACCATCGAGTCTTCTGTGACTCACAGCAACCCTATGGACAACAGCTCTGAATCCTGCTCTATCCTGAGCCAGTTTCTCTGATTCTGACCCACCTAATCCCATTTCCTCGATTACTGTATCAATCCATGTCATCCGGGATCTTCCTCTCCTGTGTTGTCCCTCCACCCTTCTGAGCATGAATGACGTCCTTCTCCAAAGACTGGTCTCACTTAGCAATGTGCCCAAAGTATGTGAGATGTAGCTTCAAAATCCCACTCTCCAAAGAGAAATTTGGTGTCACCTTCTCCAAGGCATACCTGGTTTTTCTCTTGGCAGCCCATGGTATGTGCAATATTCTTCTCCAGCACAACTGAAAAGCATCAATTCTTCTTCTGTCATCCTTAGTCACTGTAGAGACCACTGGTGCATAGCAAATAATTGTGAAGGCCATGGCCTGAATCAGTCACATCTTAGTCTCTAGACTGACATCTTTATTTCTCAGTATTCTGGAGAGGGACCTGAACAGAGATTTTCCCCAGTGCAATTTGCCTTTTTATTTCCTGACTGTTGGAGTCCAGGGTGTTGATTGTGGAGCCAAGCAAGCTGTAACTGTTAACAACCTCAATCTCTTCTCCATCTAGCATGGCACTGCCAGTTAGACTAGTGGTAATAATCTTTGTCTTCTTGATGTTGAGCTTCAATCCATATTGAAAACTATAGTCCTCAGCTTTCTACAGCAAGTGCTTCAGGTCCTTCTCAGTTTCAGAAAGCAAATTTGTGTCATCTGAATATCACAGATTTTATGAGTCTTCCTTAAGTTTTGATGCCGCGTTCCTCCTCATAAAGCCCAGGCTCCTCAGTGATCCAAGCATTTACTGTTTCTGAAAACCCACTGGAGGGTCTTCTAGGGGTCAGTTCCAACTAGGTGGTGCACGACAACCACTCTCAGCAGGAACGATGTCATTTTCCAAGGACTAGATCCTCTTGATAACATGCCCAAACTATGTAAAACAAGTCTAAGGAACAGCCTGGTTGTACTTCTTCTAAGGTAGATTTGTTGGTGTTTTTTTTTTTTCTTTTGGCAGTCCATTGTATATACAGAACTTTTCGCTTTCCCAAGTAGCCACATAAACACTTCCAAAATAGATAGACCTAAGTTTTTTCTCCAGAAACGCGTGAATCTCAAATGCAGATCTAAGATTATGGTGCTAGAGTCCAGGAAATTAACCGAAAGTGAATCACTAGCGGAGAAGGCCTGCGACATAGGAATTGGGCTGCCAATCCAAAATTGGGAGGTTTGAATCAGAGTCTCTCCTAGGAAGAAAGACGGGCAATCTATCACCTCAAAGCCTGCTAGAGGGTCAGTTTTCGTTCAAAGGCTGTGAGTTGTTGTGCTGAGCAACTAGAATTGACTGGCAGTTTTCCCTCACACCCAACCAAATCCAGGATGGAGGCTTGCAGCACGACCTGTGTACAGCATTCAAACAGTTGAGGGAGAGAACTTTTTAAAAGGAATATATATTAGTTATTATTTTCATGACAAAATTACAGAAAAATAAATTAATAGTAACGTGGACTGTGGACTTGGGAGGAGATTGTATCACAATGAAAGAATTTTTTTTTCTTTTCAAAGAGAAAAAACTGGGACGGAGGGGGGGCAGAAAGGAAAATATGCAACAGTGAATGAATGAGGAAAAATTAAATGGAAAAAATGCTGTAAAAAATATAAATGTTGCATTAAAAAACCATTAATAATAAAAAAAAAAAAGTTTAAAAAAAAAAGCAACACAGCCGAGCGTGCAGAGAGAGGACGCGAGGACGCCAGGCGCAGCGGCACGTAGCCCTGCCCCCGCCCCGCCCCCAAACGCGACCGGCGACCCCATGGCGGCCTCCCTGGACAACGTCTCCATGGAAACAGACACCCTCGGCTTCCTCCGAAGCCAGACCACCATTATGGCGGCTGGGGAGCCTCGGGGTTTGGGCAACTATTATTTCCGATATCTGCCCCAGAGGCCTTTTCCGCTTCTCACCGCCCAGGAGACCACCAGCCGGCTACGCCAATGGTGAGGGGCCGTGAGGAGACGAGAGCCCCTGAGCCCTTCGAGGCTGTGGAGGCGCGAGGGGCCCCGTGAGGCCTCGAGAGTGACACTCTCCCACCCTGAGGCTGTCACGGGGCTGCGGGAAGGGCGAATTCTGTGCTGAAAGTGCATCCCGCGAGGGGCCGGCTCCAGCAGACTTGCCTTTTCTTCTACCCCAGGTCCATGCTGGGCAGGATCAAGGCCCAGGCGTTCGGATTTGACCAGACTTTTCAGGCCTATCGGAAGGATGAGTTCGTTATGGTTGGTATGCGAGTGGCTGAGTTCTTTGGTTCTAAACTGATTTCCAGCTTCTCCATAGAATTCCAGCATTCTCCCACAACTTTCCAACATTCCTCCACATAAAAGCACCATAGAGTCTTCCAAGCGCCTCATTCCGTAGGGACTACTTTTCTTGCATTTTGGAAGTACTATCCAAGTGATTTTAAAGGAAGAAAGGGCTATTTTACATTTCCCATCACCATAAATGTGTTTCTTAGCAAATGTTCACTAACATCATTCTGTGAACTCCCCTATTCTGGACTGAAAGTCAGTCGACTACATTTTTCCTGCAACCTTTTTTAAATTAGCGCCAACAAAATTTACTAATATTTCATATTAGTGATTATTGTTGTTTTTATGTTGCCTGCAATTTATAGTGACCCTGTGAACAATAGCCCTGAGCCCTGCACTATCTTGAGTTAATCTGCTTATGACACACCTACCCCCAGTACCCCAGTTACTTGTCAATCCATCTCATCCAGGTCTTCCTCTTCTGCACTATCCCACCCTTCCAAGCATGATGCCCTCCAAGGACTGGTCCCTCCTGGCCACATGCCCAGAGTATGTGAGACAGCTTCAAAATCCTTGTCTCCACGGAGCAACCTGGTTTCACCGTCTTCAGGACAGACCTGTTTGTTCTTTTAGGAGTCTAGAGTATGTTTCATACTCTTCTCCAGCACCATAACTCAAAGACATCAATCATTGTCCAGCTCTCAGATGTTTAGCAAATAATTGCAAAGACCATTGTCTGGATCAGATCACCTGGGTCTCTAGACTGACTTTGTTTCCCTTCAGATCTCTGGAGAGGTCCCTGATAACAGATTTTCCCAATGCAGTTCATCTTTTGATTTCTTTTGGTGCAAGAGTATTGATTGTGGATCCGAATAAGATGAAATTGTTGACAGTCTCAATCTCTTCTCCTTCTCTCATGGTGCTGTGTATTGACTAAGCAGTGAGAATCTTTGTTTTCTTGAGGATGGGCTTCAATCCATATGGAAGACTAGTCCTTGACCTTCCGCAGTAAACGCCACAGGTACTAGTCAGTTTTGGCAAGCAAGGTTGTCATCTACATAGCACAGATTATTGATAAGTCTTCCTTCAATCCTGATGCCACATTCTTCCTCATAATGTCCAGCCTCCTGAATGATACATACCGCATATAGATTGAAAAGGTATGGAGAAAGGACATCTCCCTGCTGCACTCCTTCCTTATTTTGAACCATACAGAATTTCCTTGCTCTGTTCTGACTGCTTCCTGGTCTAAGTATAGATTTTGCATGAGCACAGTCACGTGTTCTGGGATTCCATTCTTTTCAGTGTTTGCCACAATTTATTGTGATCCACACAGTCTAATACATTTGCATAGTCAATAAAACACATCTTTCTGGAACCCTCTGCTTTCCGCCAAGATCCATCTGACACTGACAGTGATATCCCTAGTACCATGGCTTCTAAACCTAGCTTGTATTTCTGGCAGTTCTGTGTTGATGTACTTACTGTTCTAGTTGTTTTTGGGTAATCTTCAGCAAGATTTTGCTTGCATGTGCTAGATGTGCTAGTAGTGATGTTATTTGATAATTTCCACACTTGATCACCTTTGGAAAGGGCATAAATACAGGTCTCTTCAGTCACTTGTGTAATAGCTCTCTTCAAGGATCTGTTTGTTGAAACATCTCAGTCGGTAATCTGTCATTCCTGGATTCTTGTTTTTGACCAGTGTCTTCAGTGCAGCTTGGACTTTTTCCTTCAGCATTATCAAATCCTGATCATAAAATCTGAGAAGGTTCAATATTCACATGACAAGGAACGGGCAGAAATTCAAGTTAAGTTCAGTCTGTACACTTTGGAATCTGAATCTTAGGTCCTGAAAGCAGTTTAAATAAGTAATCCCAAAAGTATGCTTTAAACAATGAGAGAGTTACACAAAGTCTTCATAGCTTCTGGAGTTGACAACTTTTAAAGACATAAAACATTTTTGAGGTATAAAATGTGTTAAAATTCAGTCATTATTTTCAATTATAGCATTTATTTCCCACCCCATCTTCTTTTTTTCCCCCTCCTCAGTCACAAAGAAAATACTGTTATTGTCTTTGACATTATCTTCCTTCTTTCCCCTTTGTGTCCTTGAGGCATTAACTTTATAATTGGCTTAGTTTATTCATTCATAAACACTTCCTGAGGGCCTACCATGTGCAGGCATTCTGCCAAATGTTCCAGCTACGAGGATAATCAAAATAGACAAGGACCTTCCTTTCAAGGATCTTACAGACCTATAGGCAAGGCTGTCAATAAACTAATTAAGTCAATAAAGTGGTAAATGTGGTGGTAAAGGAAATAAGGAGGAACAGAGAAAGTAGAACTTTAGATAGGATTGACATGTTTGTCTTAATAGTATACACTATGAGGGTACAAAGGTTAAATGTCTGCTACTCTTATGATTCTGTGGTTGGAACACTGATGGTATATTGCACTGTGTGTTGACACTCACTATCCAAAATGTCAGTGACTGGAATCCACCAGCTGCTCTGAGGGAAAGATGAGGCAGTCTCCTGTAAAGAATTAGAGTCTTGGAAACTTGATGGAGAATTACCATGAGTCAGAATTGACTCTAGGGCAATGAGTTTGGCTTTCGTTTAGATTGTATAATACTATTATAATGCTAGGCTTGAGTGTGGCAGAAATGGTCAGAATGGAACAGGATAGGGCAGCATTCAAATAGATTAGATAGATAGATAGATAGATAGATAGAGATACATTTTAAAAAAAGGAAAGCAATCCGTTTTTTTCTATTTCTCCTCTCCCCCCTCTCCCTCCCTCTCCTCTCCACTCCTCTCCCCTCCCCTCATTCTCTCATCTCTCTCTTCCTTTCTCTCCCCCCACTTCGGGATGGCAGTGCAGCTTCTTGCCACTAGGCCACGAGAGCTCCCTTCTCATCTATTCTATGAGTCATAGTTGCCTCAATGATATTTGACAATAGTGCTATTATTTAATTCTTAAGTACTTACTAGATTTTTATCACTTTAAAATTTTTTTTTCATTTATCCTTGTGCCAACTCTAAACAACTTTTTAAAAATTATTAGAATCTTAATCCACTTCATCTTAATATACCATAAAGTTATCTAACACAAGTCATTTATTCAATTAATATTTATTTAATACTTACTATGGCACTGCTAAGATATTAAAAAATTAAGAGACCGAGTTTTCAAGGCATGCCTAATTTAAAAAAAAAAAATCAATCCAAACGTGTTCCTGGCGAGTTAGCTATTCTGATTCAGTGACCATACAAGGCAGATTAAAACTGCACCATTGGCAGTGGTCTTTATGGGAGCAGACAGCTACATCTTTTTCCGTGGAGCAGCTGGTAGATTTGAACCACCAACATTCAGTTAGCAGCCAAACACCTAACTCTTTTGTACCAAGATCCTTGAGTATAATTTGGGAAGCTACAAATAGCAAAAAAATGTCACCTAACAAGCAATATTATTGGGGGGGGGGTGAATTCATGATGGAGAGTATAAAATTAATTTTTATTTTTCAAGAGACAAAATTCTTCAATAGACTCAAGATACCAACATATTTCCATAATATGTCAGTTGTTTTCAAACTAATTTTCAAGTTATTGATGTTTACTTACACCTCTTTTACCTGTGAAATGAGCAGTCTTATTCCCATTTGTTTCTTTGTTTTCATTTAAACAACTGAACTTGTTTTATGACTACATTTACTCATGTAACGAATGTGGTTAGCTGTACAGCACAGTGCAGACCACAGCTCTTTCATGTGAATAACCTGGAAGGTAAGAAAGCACTGTGGCTATCCATATTAACTCAAAATGGGATTTACCTTGAAGCTAGTAAAACTTTAGGGTCCCTTACTAAGGGGAATCAGGTGTTCTTACCTAACACATACTAAGTTATTATATATTTTTATATATATGTATAATTTTTTATTGTCATTTTAACCAAAGTTTACAAAAAACTTGAATTTCCATTCGTTCATTGTTGCAAATTTTCCTCCCTACTTTTCTCTTTGAAAAACCTATTCATTGTTGCACAATTTCCTCCCCACCCCCACATCCCAGTCCACTTTGCTATGCACCTCTTATTCTGGACTGTTGTCATGCAAATAATGCCTAATCATATATTTCTTTTAAAGAATTTTCCCCTCATCTGTTTCAATGCAGTGTTCATTATTTCCCTCCTCTTTTCTTAGTTTCCCCCCAACTCCCAATGTAATTCTTGTTTTATAACAGTGGCATTGTGCAGTATTTGTCCTTTTGTGACGGAGATATTTCACTCAGCATAATGTCCTCCAGGGTCATCCATTTTGCATAATATGAGTTCCTTGTTTTTCAGTGCTGCATAGTATTCTGTTGTGTGACTATCCCAAAGCTTCTCTCTCCATTCATTTGTTGATGGGCACTTGGATTGGTGCCAACTCTTTACTATTGTGAACAGCTCAGCAATAAACATGCATGTACGCATATCTGTTTGGGTGGAAGCTCTGGTTTCTTTAGGGTATATTCTCAGTAGTGGAATTGCTGGGCCAAATGGTATTTCTATTTCCAACTTTTTGAGAAAGTGCCATACTGCCTTCCAAAGTGGTTGTATCATTTTACACTCCCACCAACAGTAAATAAGTGTTCCAATTTCCCCACAACCTCACCAGCATTTGTTGTTTGCAGCTCAGTTGAACTTTCCCATTGTTACTAGGGTGATAGGATATCTCATTGTTGTTTTTACTTGCATCTGTCTGAGAGATAGGAATTTTGAATATTTCTTCATGTGTTTGTTCACAATCTGTCTTCTTTGGTGAAGTGTCTGTTCATATCATGTGTCCATTTTGCAATTGCATTGTTTGGTTCAAAATTGGGAAGAGTGTATGCCAGGGATGTGTCCTATCTCCATACCTTTCCAATCTATGTATGAATAAATTATTCAGGATGCTGAGCTCTATGAGGAAAAATGTAGCATCAGGA